ATTACTGACCTCTGTCATCATTTTAAGTGGGGGAACTTGCACAATCGGTGGCTGACTAAATACTTTTTTGCCCCACTGTAGGTGTGTATACCATCAGCACAGCACAGGTGGAAAGTGTCAGAACGAGAGCGCTCAAAGACAAAGAAGAAAAGACATGATGGGTAATCACAAAGATCGCAATGAAAACCCGTTACACCATCAGCGAGTTGAGCCTGTTTCCAACTGTTTACTACCTTCATTGTTCAGCTGCTCTGTGACTGTCAGCAGTCTCTTCTTCCTGATGATGCGAGGGATCTGAACTGAGTTTCTTTAAGGAAAATATATTTGTGTATTTAAAGCACACGGACACACTGCAGTGGCTCCACGGCCATAATATCACATCCACCACAGACAAAGTTACAAAGTCAAATGAGACACCTCAGTGTCAACTACAGATGTTCAATTTGTGTAACTGGGATTCTTGTGATTAGAGCTACTTTGTAACTGTGAAATATCTCATAATGATAAATGGAAGGTTTTCTGACTCAAACAGGTTTAAACTGGGCTCATTATCCTGTTCATACACATGCTTTCAGTGCTCTGTCTGTACTCTGATGGATGCACCGGAGAGCAGCTTTTTCTCCCAGGAATATTTCTCATGCAGACTGCGGCAGACAGGAATCAAACCACCAACCCTCACGTTTTTATTTCATTTAGTTCAGTGAGTTCGTGTTCTTACTAACGTGGAGTAACTGTGGCCTCATAAAGTATTCTCATCCTAAACTATGACACGTATACAGAGCTAATGAGAGGGAAACATTTTTAACATACTGAAAAAAAACAATCGTTAAAAGTATAGGGCTTTGGCGCATGATGTCACGGGAGGGGGCGTGGCTAAAGGAGCGAAAGCTGCTGTGTTGTCAGTTGTTAGATCGCACGATTGGGAAGAGGATAAGCTGGAAAATGGGCTCGCTTTTTATTTTTTCCCCACCTGGAAGTATCGTGAGGCAGCTCGTGTATCGATGTTACCAAACGAAGGCGTCTAGCCTGGAGAGCAGCTGTGAGACGAGCTGATATCCGGTTCTCGACCATCCACAGATATCTGTTGGTGCTGCTGGTGACAGTTTCATTCAGGTAAGATAAGTTCATATCACTCTTTATAACCTATTAGTGTTATTTTCAATGCGCTCTGAGGTCGTAGCAAATTAGAACAAACATCCTACTGAGTGATTTTGTAGATAAACGTTCTATTTATAGAGTTGCTGATTGTTTTTCATTATTGCAGCAAACCAGCCGATGAAATGGACGAAACACATCCTGACTGGGTTTCAACGCTACAGATGGGGCTCTACGAAATCCCTGCTTCAAACCACATGCTACAATCAGATTACTTCTTCCATGTGAGGGTGAACATGTGCCCCAGTGTGGTAGTAAAACCAGGGAAACATGCTCGTCACTGTAAAAAAATATTGTAGGATTTACGGTGAATTACTGGCAGCTGTGGTTGCCAGAATTTCACCGTGAACAACAAACTAAATGTAGAACACAACAGTATCCTATTTTGGTAACTGTAACCGTCTCCAGGCAGGCGCTGCCGATTTGCAACAGTTAAAAACTAACAACCTGATCACCCCACACACATATTTTATGAGTTTGTTTACTCAGAAGTACCACTGCAGGACTTGGTTGTGCATTAGACACAAAAAGTTTAATTTGAGCCTGAGAGGATTAAATTTCACAGTAAATAATAATTTATTTATTTTTACAGTAAATTGTTAAATTGTTTATGGGTAATTTATGTGAAAAGAACAGACATTCTGTTAACCTGATTACAGTCTTCGTTAAATATAGTGAAACTGTATAAAATAATACAGTATCATACTAAAAAGTTGAATATTGCGGTAAAATACTGGCAGCTGTGGTTGCCAGAATTTCCCCGTGGAAAATACAGTGATAATGCAGAATACATAACACTAAATAAATGTAAAATTCACAGTGAACTTTGGTTTTTGCACAATAATTACATTGAAATAAAAAACTAATATAAAGTAAACCAGTTAAAATACATTTTAATGAGCTTGTTACCATCTCCTGTTGACAAAGCACAGAACAGCTGTATAAATACAAAACATGTCTTTTTATTCAAAAGTTCATATTTACAGTAAATCATTGGCAGCTGTTGCAGCCAGAATGTCGTCTAAAAGATTAAAGCCCAACAAATGAGGTAATAAACATAACTGGGCTAACTGGCATAAAACTTACATTCTTTGACTTTTTGTCATAATTTGCTAGAAACATTAATAAAAACCAGTAGAGACAATTATTACATTAAACAGATGATATTTAATAATCAAATTAATGACTAAAAAGGCACTGATCGAATTCATATCAAACTTAATACAACCAAAAACAAATAAGTACATAATAAACAGTCATTGATACCTGCAGTGGTTGGCAAAGTTTCTTTTTATCCAGATTGATCGTGGAGAGCTTTCAAACAGTCTCTGACGGTGTCTGAGGGACTGGAACAGGGTTTGGAGGACTTGCATGTTGTTCCTCAGATGCTCGGTGTAGATTAGCCATCTTTCCTTGCAGTCTGAAAGCAAATACAAAGCACAATAAAGCAAACTGCCCGTTTCAAAAGCAAATATACAATCTTACATTTAATAGAGCTGACACAATTAATTGTGAAATGATTTTCAATTTCTTAAATAATCTTAAATGATCCTGTGGGTTATGGAACAAAAACGTGAAGTGGAAGACCTAAAAAACCCAAATGAAGGGCGTTACTGGTGCCGACTGCACCCCCATAACCATCAAACAGCATCTGAGACTGAAGGGCTTCAAAAACAAAATCTCTGATGAGAAAAAAATAACCTTTTTTTTCTCCTGTAAAAAACGGTAACCTTGATGGTCCTGATGGTTTCCAACGTTACTGCCATGACAAGCAGATCCCACCTGAGATGTTTTCGCCCCACAGACAAGGGGGCGCCACAATGGTCTGGGGTGCTTTTTCCTTCAGTGGAACAACGGAGCTTCAGGAGGTGCAGGGGTGACAAACGGCTGCTGGCTGTGTCCAGATGTTGCAGAGAGCGTCCCTGATGACTGAGGGCCCTCGTCTGTGTGGTAACGACTGGGTTTTTCAACAGGACAACGCTACAGTACACAATGCTGCAGGACAAAGGGCTTCTTCCAGGAGAACAACGTCACTCTTTTGGACCATCCTGCGTCTTTCCCTGATCTAAATCCACTGAGAAAGGACAACAGTTCCAGACAGTAGACGCCCTTCATGTGGTCGTCTTCACCACTTGGAGAAATGTTCCCACTCTCCTCATGGAAACGCTTGCATGAAGTGATCAACAATAACAGTGAACCTTTTCATTACTGAGTCCAAGTCTGGAACTTTACTTTTTCAAACAGACACAATTGAAAGTACAAATGTGCATGAAACAAATTCAAACGTGCTGCAGATGTGTGTCACAGGCTGATCTGGCACTTGGCCAGAGGAGGCGCTGGTTGACTCGAGTCCATGTTAGTGCACAAAGTAAACTGCTCGCTGTAGTTGTGAAGCAAAAACGCTGAAACCGGAGAAATAAAACGAAGACAAGAGTCTCCGGATCGTTTCCTCTTGCTGTCCCGTGAACAACATCGGCGTGTTGTTAACTGTTTGCTGTTTCCGCGATCGCGTCGCGCGTGAGGATATCACAGGTAAACTCGAAACATTTTAAACATGTTGTTGTTCAACAACATCAAGACTGACTGAGTGTGTTTGAGATAACCTCACACGTTTCACAGGTGGCGTGTTTTTGCTGGTTTGTCGGTAGAAGCTCCTGAAACGCAAGACTGCCACACATCTGTTCACCAACGCCAGCTGATCTGGAACACAGCAGCCCAACACGTCTGCGTGTTTGCTGTGCGTGGGTTTGTTGAGCCTCCGCTGACAGTGAGTAACGTCCTGTTTTCCTCTCGGACCATCTGACACGTGGAAAACGTCTCGTGTCTCACTACACGTCCCGTGTTCTGCCGCTGGTGTGAGTTTCCAGTCGGACATAATTTGGAAAACACTTGTGAAGTCACACGTGTGGCTGACCGGGGTCGTCATCGAGCTCGAGTGGAGGCGTGTTGGGAGGTGAGTGAGTGCGTGGGGTTGTTGGATGTGGTGATGTGGAACAGGGTTAGGGTTAGGCCATAGCAAAGCGACGGCTGTGGTGGAGCTGTCACGGCGTCTTCGTGATCCGAGCGCCGCTTTATGACCGAACAGCTTCACCGAGGCTCCGTCAGCCCATCCTGATCCGGGACCGTCCCAAACACCGTCCGGGTAGAAAACTCTGTCCGCAGCGATGCTTGCGGTGTGGGCTGTGCGGTGTGGGCTGTGCGTGTGGGCTGTGCGGTGTGAGCTGTGCGGTGTGGGCTGTGCGGTGTGGGCTGTGCGGTGTGAGCTGTGCGGTGTGTACGAGCTTGTATGGACTGAATCTGAATGTTACGAGCTTCTGTGGGTGCTATTACTGCTTCTGACCAGAGGTGTCGCTGTGTGCGCGGTGAAACAGGCGTGAGTTTTGTCTGCTCCACACAGCTGATCCACAGACTGGCTCAGTGGGATCATCAAGTGTTCCCAGTTTGCTCCAGCAGACTTTGGCCAGTTTAAGTAAGACACAGCTCAACAGCGCTGTGATATAGGAATGATCAGATAATGAATTCAATAACCTTCGATGTGTTGCTTTAACTCTAATGATATTCTCTGGACTTGCAGACTGAAAAAGATGCCAAAGAAAAGCAAAACTCAGAGTGTGAAGAGACGGACGGCTGACCGAGAGCAGCCCGCTGTTAAACGAAGCAGAGAGGAGCAGAGCGACACTTCGCCGCTCTGCTTCCAGAGCCCAGACACACTGTTCGAGAGCCTCATCCAGCCGATGGCGACGGATCGGTTCTTCTCAGAGTACTGGGAGAAGAAGCCTCTTCATCTGCAGAGGTCTGATCCTGGCACCGCCGCGTACTACCAGTCTCTGTTTCAGCTGAGTGACCTGCAGAGCCTGTGTTCTCAGGGTCTCGAGTACTACAGGGACATCAACGTCGTTCGCTGCGTCAACGGCAAGAAGAAGCTTCTGAACAAGGAAGGCCGAGTGAAGCAC